ATTTAATATATTGATTAAATACATGTAAAATATCTAAATATTAAAATTAAAAGTACATTGTTTAATAAGAACTAGTAGATGCTATAATAAAATAATTTTAAAAGTATAATGTTGTAATAAAAAGTCATATCACTATAATACATGTGGATAACCTACGTGGACATTAAAATTTATTATAATATTATATTTTCATTTTCATTTTTATAATAATTACTTTTAAAAAAAGATTATCAACACAACGTAATTTAGAAAATCTACCTATATAACAATAAATAATATGTTTCATTGGTTTTCAAAGTACAATGATTTGATGAAAGAAAAATTTAAAAGTATATTATTGTGATAAAAAACAATAAATATACAATATTATAATAAAAAATTTGTAAAATTATATTACTATTGTATGCATTTAATCCTAAATAAATAACATGAATTTAATTAATCTATACTATATTATAAAGCATTTGACAAAAACTCTTATAAACTATTTTTTATACATGAACTATTGTTTATTGATGCATATTACTTAAAATTCAAGATTACAAGAAAATAATGCGTAAGTATAAGTTATAAAACTTCATGCTTGAATTCGTATAACTACATGCAAATAAACATAATCAAATAAAGAATATATATTTTATTTTAAATATAAAAAATCTAAAATATAATTAAGATAATCGTTGTTTTTCTAACAGAATATTTAATTATGATATTTATAAAAAATATAAGATTAAATAAAAAATAAATTACTTCGTTATTAAATCTAAATTAAGTTATAATAAAAAAATTGAATTAAAAAAATTACACAACAAAACAAGAACTTTAAAATAGTTAATTTAATACCAATGTCGATATATTTTCTTCAAAAATTTATGATATTTTCAAATTTATATTTTATTCAAAAATAAAAAACATTATCGTTTTTTTCAAAACCACATAAAACCGTATTATAACATCGACAAGGAACAGAATAAAACGAAACATTAAAACCGATATGTATCTCGCTTCATTGCATAAGTTTGTTCTGCTTCAATTTCGTTATAGTATTGTTATTTTAGTGTATAAGTTTTATGTTGTTATTTTGTTTTTCATTCGATTTACTCTGTGAAATAAGTTAAAACGTTAATTTACGGGGTGTTTGTTAAGAGGTAATAAACAATAATTAATTAGAATGAAAATAAAAAAAAATGTTTAATTTTATATAATATAACAAATCCATTCCTTCTAGAAGCCAAACCTATATACATTAAAGGAATAACCAAAGGATTACTTAATAAGAAGTTTTATATCCTATTTATTTATTTTTTCTCATTATTTTGATTTATTTTTTTAATATACAATCAATACATTAATTGTTAACCTTTTAATTTTTCTACATTTTTTAACTTCATTTTCATTATTCTATAAGAAAATCTGAATCCACAAATATATAAATTATTTACACAAATACGTGCATATTTTTAATTACATGACAATTGAAAAAAATAAATCATCAAAACTAAAGATATGTGGAAATTTTGAAATACAAAATACAATCTTAAATATATAAAATTATATAAAATTTTATTTACATAAATACATGCATATTTTTAATTACATGACAAATGAAAAAATAAATCATCAAAATTAAAGATAGGTGAAAATTTTGAAATACAAAATACAATCTTAAATAATGCGGTGTAATGTAAATCATTACGGTTTGTAATTCATAAATTGTATTGCCATGCCTAACATAATCTTTAAACTATCAACGAAATCATGCAGCTATCAATTAGTCAAGGTTTTGACTGATTAACGGCTTCGAATTTCATAAAATGATTATAACAAAATTTTCAATATAAGAGAGTAATTTTAAAAAGTATAAAAACAGAACTATTACAATCAGTTTTAGAAAGAAAAAAAAAATTAACTAACAAAAGAAAAATGAACCAAATACATATATTTTCTCTTCTATGAAATCTATAATAAACAAGTGGGAGAGGCATGATTCGAACCTACATAGAAAAACTTCAGCAAATTTATAATTTGCCGCTTTTGACCACTCTCCTCTTCCCAGACCAAGCCCTTCCTCCCACTTAAAAATAAATGTTCCCAAGATTTTTTTAATCTTGAGGGGATACTCGAAAAGGGGTAGATCAGAGGGTTGAGTTCTAGTGAGAATAAGAGTTAAGATGAGAAGCGTAAAAATGGATCTCCACTCTTTGATGCATATTAGGATCAGATGTACCGAGATGCACCCAAAAGGTTGTAAAACCTTGGGATATCGTGGCGGCACCATGAGAATTGAGTATTCTCATATGGTGCATCTGTGGTTGAGTTTTAATTGTCCCACATTAATGAGTAGTTAAATGATTTGACCAAAGTGAAGTGTATGAAAAGATAAATGATGTCTTTGCATCAATTCATGGGGTTTTCCTCGTAGAGTTGTCATATTTTGGATGACCCTCCTTGAAATCTATAACCATGGTTGAAATCAAAACTAACCAAATGGTAAAAATCAAAGTACAAAACTAAAAGTGAAACCAAAGATGATGATTTGACAAAATGAGTTTTGAGTATTCCTTAAATTTTGATTAAAGTTGATTTTCATCATCTCACATTGGTGGAAAGATTTGAAGAAGATGATAGATGTATAAAATTCTGATGGATGTTTTGAAATCTATAATCATAGTTGAAAACAAAACCAACCGTCTTTATATCTTTATCTTTATATATATATATATATATATATATATATATAAGTAAAACGATATTAAGGTGACATCATGAGAATTGATGGTTGAGTTTTAATTATTCCACATTGATGAAGAATTAAGAGGTTTTAACGAAGTGAATTGTATAAAAAGATGGATGGTGCCTTTGTGTTAATTCATGGGGTTTTCCTCATAGGGTTGTCTTATTTTTGATGACCATCTTTGAAATCTATAACCATGGTTGAAATAAAACCAACCAAATAGAGAAAATCATAGTACAAAACTAAAAGTGAAACCAAGGATGATGACTTGGTAGCATAAGACTCAAATCTTGATTAAAGTTGATTTTTATTATCTCACATTGGTGGAAAGATTTGGAAGAAGATGATGGATGTATAAAAACGTGATGGATGCTTTGAAACTTATAACCATAGCTGAAATCAAAACCAACCAATTGGTAAAATTATAGTACAAAACACATAATTAAAATCTTTATCTATATTATATTATAAATTATTTGACAAAAATTCTTAAAAATAATTTTTATGCATGAATGACTGTTTATTGATACATATTACTTAAAATTCAATATTACAAGTAAATTTTGCATAAGTACAACTTATTAAAGTTTCATGTTTGAATTCGTGTAACTAAGTGCGGTCATAATCAAATTGAGGATAAACATCTCATTTTAAAATATAAAAAATCTAAAATATAATTAGGATAATTATTGAGTTCTAACAAAATAATTAATTATTATCTTTGTAAAAAATTATATTATTAAACCAAATATAAATTACTTTGTTACTGAATCTAAATTAAATTATAATAAAAAATTGAATTAAAAAATTATACAAAAAATAAGAAAATTTAAATAGTTAATTTGATACTGATATCGGTATATTTTTATCAAAATTTTATGATGTCTTCAAATTTATATTTTATTCAAAGAACATAAGACCATATTATAAGATCGACTGAGATAACTAACAAAATAAAATATTAAAATCAAGATGTATCTCGCTGCATTGCGCGAGTACCTTTCTAGTATTGTAAAATAAAAACCTAGGGTATTGAAGTAACACCATGAGAATTGAGTATTTTCAAATGGTGAATTGTGGTTGAGTTTTAGTTGTCCATATCGATGAAGAGTTGGAAGATTTGAACAAAGTGAAATGTATATGAAAGATGGATTGAATGTCTTTGTGTCAAATCATGGGGTTTGTTTCATACAGTTGTCTTATTTTGGAAGATCCTCTTTGAAATGTATAACCATGGTTGGGATCAAAACCAACCAAATGGTAAAAATATTTATCTTTATATATATAAAAGGAAAACCTTGAGGTATTCAGATGGCATCATGAAAATTGAGTTCTCTCAAATGATAAATTGTGATTGAGTTTTAGTTGTTTCACATTGGTGAAGAGGTGAAATATTTGAAAAAAAGGAAATATACAAGAAAGATGGATGAGATGTCTTTGTGTCAAATCATGAAGTTTGAATCATAGGGTTGTCTTATTTTGGATGACACTCTTTGAAATTTATAACCATGGTTGAAATCAAAACCAACTAAATGGTCAAAATTATGGCCAAATATAAAAGTGAAACCAATGATGTTGAATTGGCAACATAGGTTTGATTGTTCCTTATCTGAAATAAGGTTGACTTTCATCATCTCACATTGGTAGAAAGATGATAGATGTATAAAAACGTAACGGAGCTTTGAAATATATAACAATGATTGAAATCAAAACCAACCAATTGGTAAAATTTTGTGCAAAACGAATGCAAATGATACATTTTTTTCTTAACAAAAGTTGTGATTATTGTAGTACTTATAATAACAAATGTAATTTAAGTATTTATTATATCACTTATATATACATAGAATGAAAATGTTGACTCAATGACGTGCTTTCATCTGATGTTAGTATTCTCCAAATCGTGATTTACAGTGTTGAATGTGGCGTTGTAAATATAAATACAATCCAAAGTTTTCACACACATCGCACTTCCGCTCGAGTCGAGACTTTTACGTTTTTTCTTAAATTGAGTTTTGATCACCATACAACGCACAGTGTCAAACACTAGTCTATATATATATTAAAGAAGAAACCACTATGTATGATGTGGCCTCTTCTAAAAGCTAGGAGCTTATTTATCTTTTTTCTCCTTTTTTTTGTTTTT